CGGATCGGGAGTGAACCCAGATGCGGAGTGGATGACGAGGGCAGGATGGGCGGTCGTTTCTCTCAGGCAGTGCAGCGAGCAAGTTTCAGCGGTCGCCTACGGGCCAGTGCCAGGTCCTGTGCAGAGTACGGGCTTGGCAGAGCACTGCGCGTTCTACATGGCATTGTGTCTTATGGGGCCCAAGGTGACCATCATCACGGACCACAAGAACCTCCTGTTAGGTCTCCAGAAGGGCCCCGAGAAGATGTGCACAGCTTCAGAACCTCATTGGGAAGTCTGGCGACTGATATTCTGGGAGTTGAATGACGTAGGTGCAGAAAACGTGAATCTTCAGTGGATGCCGTCGCACAAGAGTAGGGCGTGGCTCAGAAATCACGACTGCTCGGGCTCCTGGTACCTTGGCAACTGGCAGGCTGACAAGTAGGCGAAGTTGGGGGCTCTAGAGCACCCAGTGTGTCCCCAGCTGGATCAGAGGGTTCGGGCTGCCAAAAACTTCGGTAGGCATTTCGCGGGGCTCCTGGCAGGCTCTCTGAAGCGTCTCAGTAGCTTGGGGTTTCCAGATGTAGATAAGGCCCCGAGGGCTACGAGGGCCCCCCAGGCAGACCCAGATGGCAAGCGAGGAACCCCTGTGCGTGCTAAAACACACCACGGGGGATCGAGGCCACCTGCTGCACACAGCTGACGGCAGGTGGGGATGCAGAATTTGCGGAGCGAGTGCCGCTCGTCGAAGCGCGGTCATCCAGAGCGAGTGTCCAGGCCAGCCGAGAGTGCTTGCGAGGACGCACGGGGCTCATAGAATGTGGGTGGTCGGCTCGGATTTGTCTTTCTGCGTGCAGTGCGGGTGCCACGCGCGGGAGCAGGTCAAGGACTTGGCCGCGCGCTTCCTCCGCTCTGCTGGGACGGGGAAGGCTGGGGCGTTGAAGTATATGCGCCAGGGCATAGATCCCACCTCCAAGAAGTGTGTGGGGCGCCCCTTCCCCGTCCATTAATTTTACTCCGCGGGCCAGTCTTTCACTGAGGGATTGCGTCCGCAGGGGCCTCAGAGGCTCCAGTGGAGGAGGAGATGGAGGAGGAGGAGGAAGATAATGAGGAAGGAGGAGGAGGAGGAGAATAACGGAGGATGGCAATGATGATGATGATGATGATGATGCTGATGATGATGATGATGATGATGATGATGATGATTGTGGTGGTGGTGGTGATGATGATGGTGGTGGTGGTTATGATGATGACGGTGCTGCTGCTTCTGTTGCTGACGCTGATGCTGATGCTGATGAAGGTGATGATGATGCTGATGATGATGCCGATGCTGATGCTGATGATGATGCTGCTGCTGATCGTGATGATGATGCTGCTGATGCCGATGCTGATGCTTCTGCTGAAGATGATGGTGATGATGATTCGGATGACGATGATGGTGATGATGATGGCGGTTGAGGTGGTGATGATGATGATGATGTTGGTGATGCTGATGATGGTGCTAATGATGCTGATGCTGATGCTGATGCTGATGCTGGTGCAGATGATGATGCGGATGCTGATGTGATGACGGTGATGACGATAATGATGGTGTTGATGATGCTGATGCTGATGAGGCTGATCATGATGATGCTGATTCTGCTGCTGATGATACGGATGATGGGGATGATGATGATACGATGCTGATGATGCTGATGATGATTATGATGACGATGCGGATGATGCTGATGATGTGCTCATGCTGATGATGATGGTCATGATGATGATGATGACGGTGATGATGATGCTGATGAGGTGGATGATTGTGAGGACACTGATGATGATTCTGATGCGGATGATGATGATGAGGATGATGTTGAGGATTGTTATGCTGCTGCTAATGACGATGTTGATGATGATGAGGACCATGATGATGATGGTGCTGATGATGATGGCCATGATGATGATGGTGGTGGTGGTGATGATGATGGTAATGATGATGCTTATGATGATGATGCTGGTGATGATGATGATGCTGATGATGATGATGATGATGAGGAGGAGGAGGACGAGGAGGAGGAGGAGGAGGAGAAGGTGCCAGAGGAACCAGAGGAGCCAGAGGATGATGATCATGATGAGGAGGAGGTGGCCGAAGGAGTCAGGAGGTGGAGGAGAAGGAGGAGGAGCAAGAGGAGGAAGAAGAGGAGGAAGAAAACAAGGATCATCAGGGAAGGGGAGGGGTGGGTTGGTAGAGACGGGGGGGGTCGGTCTGGAGCCGCATCGGTTCGAGCCCCAGCCCTTGCGCGCTGCCCAGGAAAGGGGCAGCCCTCGAGGCCCGCCTCGTCGGAGGGCACCAACTGCACAGTCAAAGCGCACAGGAAGGATGGGCAACTTTCCCCTTTCGGCCCATCCTTGCCACCTTACCCCTTCGGCCCGTCCTTGGCCACCTCCACTGGTCAGCGCGGCAGCATGGCCTTCCCAGGCCCTTGCACCCGGACCGCGCGTCCCCCTTCTGCGCTTTGACAGTGCGCCCGCACCGGCCCTGGCCAGGCCGCCAGGCCCATCCCGGGCCCCAGGATCGGCGTGCCCAGGCCCCCTCGCGCCGTGGAGGCGATCACGGCGGAGGGGCCTCGGCGCCTCTCGGCTTCTCGGGGGCCCTCGCCGGACCCCGGGACCGTGTCAGACAAGACGCGTGGCCACCCCCGGTGGACGCGCTCACGGTGTCTTAGCCAACGGCGAAGTAGGAGAAGTGGTTCGTGGCCAAACCAACTCTGGGAACGCGTGGTTCGTGCTTCCCTACAACTCGCTGTGTCGTTTTCGTTCGATGCATTCGCGCATCTGAGATGTAGGAAACGGCGCTTCGTGATTTCCTGATGTTTTTTTGCGTGAGCCCGGTGTCATAAAAACAATATTCCCAACCGCGCCGTTCACCAGGCACGCCGTCAGCGCGGCCTTGACCCCGCAGGTGCGGGGAAGAGTGCGGTTGGCGGGCGCGGGGTGGGTCGCGGGTTGGGTCGCGGGCGCGGGCGCGGGTCACGGGTGGGTCGCGGGTGGGTCGCCCGTGGGTCGCGGCCGGGTCGCGGGTGGGTCGCGGGTGGGTCGCGAGCGGGTCGCGGATGGGTCGGGGGCCGGATCGCGAGTGGGACGACGACGACAATAACAGCATCAACAGCAGCATCAACAACAGCAACAACAGCAACAACAGCAAGAACAGCAACAATAGCAGCAACAGCAGCAACACTTCCGCAAACAACTACACGACCAACAACAGCAAGAACAACAACAACGACAACGACAACAACAACACCAACACCGACACCAACACCGACACCAACACTAACACAAACACCACCAACAACAGCAGCAGCAACAACAATACCAACAACAACACCACCACCACCACCACCAACAACAACAGCAGCAGCAACAACAACAACGCAATAACAATGCGCATCGCGGAACCACACTTCAGCCACGCACCAAGGGACCGTGAACGTCGACCAAAAAAATCACGACATCACCCCACCTACGGCTCTCCTTCTTGCGCCGCGCCCCATCGGGCGCCGTGGCGTATACCACGCAAACGCCCAAGCTGGAATTCATGGTATATGCTAAGGTCCGCGGGGCCGTGGGTTGGGTTGTGTCGTTTGTTCTCTGGTCCTAACGACCGTTTTGCCCCCTTACTCTGATCACGATGCTTCGGCGCGGATTCCCCAGATGTGTGCATTGCCTTTCTTCCAGAGCACTTCGGTTGCGATGGTACAGTCGAGGCTCTGAAATAAGGAGCAGTTTGGGCACGAAAGGGGCTCGATGTTCCTTCGGCCACTCTGTGGTTGTTCCTTTAGCCCTCCTCGTGCACGCTGACGCTTTGGGGGCCAAGAAAATGGCTACGTTCCTCATCTACCGTTCCTTATTTCAGCGGCCCGACTGTAGGCCCCACTTGAGGATCAGCGGATTGTTCGGTGTCCGCTCCCATCTCCTCCCCACAACAGAACAAATGTGCAGCACAGATCCTGCCTCGCCCCTCTGTGAGTGTCTGGCCGAGACTGTCTGGATGTGAGAGCGTGTCCGAGTGGACGACGTGTGCGGCGACGACGACGACGACGACGACGGCGGCGGCGGTGGCGGCTACGATGAGAGACAGCGACGTCGACGACATCTCACAGACAGGCAGGCGGTGAGCAGGCCCTCTCCCCTCTCCTGTCTCTTTCTGCTCGGCGTGCATACCCCCTCCCTGATCTTTCTCCCTCCTGCCTGCTCCCTCTTGCTGCGCCCTCCCTCCTCCGTCCTCCGTCCTCCGTCCTTGCGACCGCACTTCTCACATCGACGTGATCATGGAGCCTTGAAAGAATGGACAGGAGTCGGAGTTACAACATCGAGCGCCTTGCTCGACACATAGCCACGATCTTGCCACACGGGGTGTGATAACAGCGCCTCGCTCGAGACAGCATCGCAATCTGTTATGAAAACACCATCAGCGTCCAAGTCAAACCGCCTGCGAGATCCCTACAGTCTGGGCAGGAACGGTCAGATGTCCTACCCTGGCGGCTCCTCTTTGGGGTGCTGAAGCCGGCTCGAGACGGCCTCACAATCTGTTTAGAAACCGCCGTCCGAGCCACAAAACAGGCAAACCGCTTGAGACGTCCCCACAACCTGGCCGCGAACGGTGAAATGTCCCACCCCCTGGCGGTATCCCTTTGGGGCGCTGAAGCGTCACGCCTGCTACATCGCCACAAGCACTGCGGTTTGAGAGGGGTGAGGTCTGACCAGCAGCACAGACAGGCCACCTGAGACATCCCCACAATCTCTGCGCGAACGGGCAGATGTCCCACCCCCTGTCGGCTGGGCCCTGGCCAGGATCGCTGCGCGCGCACCGCCGACACCCTCCGCGCCGTACGCCCCGCGCCGCCGTCGGCGGCGCGCCGTCGGCGGCGCGCCGTCGTCGGCGGCGGGGCCGTCGGCGAGGCCGTCGGCAGGGCCGTCGGCGGCGCCCTTCGCGGTGGCGGGCGGCGGCGTCGTGGGCGGGCGGCGGCGTCGGGCGCGGCGGGCGGCGGCGACGGCTGCGGCATGCCATGGCGGGGGCCCCGGCGGTGGGCACGCGGTCGGTGCTGCGGCAGCTGAGGCTGCCGCCGCGGCTGACGGAGGCCGAGCAGCAGGCGTCGGCGGCTCAAAGAGGGGGTGCCGAGGGGCGGGGCCCTGAGGGCAGGGGCCCTCCTCCTCCTCCTCCTCCTCCTCCTGCTCCTCCCCCCCCCCGAATATTCGGGGGGGGGGGGGCGGAGGCTCGAGGCTCGAGAGCTTCCAGCTTCGAGGTGCTCGGGCGTTTCTGTGGGCCCTCCGCGGCTTCCCGGCCTCGGGGCGCCTTCGCGGCGCCTCTGGCGCCGCCCGTGGCGCCGCCCCTGGCGCGCCTTCCGCGCTCCAGGGAGGGGGGTCCAGCGCCGAGCCGCGCGTACCTCAGAAAGTCTCGGTGTACGCAGTTTTCATGTTCCTCTTCTTCTGGAGGACGAGGCCTCGAACGGTGGATCAGTACCGATTAGTCGACCCCGACCCCCATCCTCGTCCCCATCCAGACCCCCACCATCGCAGCACCCCTGTTGGGCATACCTCCCTCGACACCCGAAGGGAACGAGCCATATTCCCATCCAGAAGGGCAAATCGGCCTGTGGGGTCCAAGTCCCGCCCATCGGTATAGGGGTCGAAGAACCAGCAACGGCATAAACATAAACTTTTGGTGGGCCGCGCGGACCGCCGAAAATTTATTTTTGTGCCGAGGTTTGTTCCTCTAGGTCGTTGAAGCGATACTCAGTCAAGGCTTCACTTGAGCGACGCGAAAAAGACGGGGTCGTCTGCGCTGACACTGGCGCGTAAGCTGCCCGCGCAAGGTCGCGCCCAAGTGCCCTCGCTTCAGATGTAAGCCACCGCGTAAGGTCACTGTGCCATCTCGCGTAAGACCCGTTTTTGATCGTCGCTCACTTGTGATCGTTTTCATATTCATTGTTTTGCCGATCGGCGCGGACCCTCGCACCGCCCCCCGCCCCATCCCCCCCCCCCCCATGGAGTGGACCTTGGTTGTTTCTGGCGGCTGCTTCGAGCATGTGGGGCCGCGGCCCCCCCCATAACGGACGCCATGCTGCAAACGGTCGCGCGAAGCGGAGGTCCGGAGCAAGATCCCCCCCCTTCTCTCCCCTGCCGCCCAATGTCAATGTCGAAATGCCGAGTAGGAGGAGTAGGAGGAGGAGGAGGAGGAGGAGGAGGAGGAGGAGGAGGAGGAGGAGGAGGAGGAGGAGGAGGAGGAGCAGGAGGAGGAGGAGGAGGAGGAGGAGGAGGAGGAGGAGGAGGACGCTCACCTTGTGCTCCGCTTGCTGCCCCGAGGGCCGCACCCCTCGGCTCCCCCCCCAGCTCTTGACCAGCCCGAGAGGCGGCGGCGCTCGGGATCGTCAATGTGCCGCGGCCGGCAGGCCGCGCCGAGGTCGAGGGGGGCGGAGGTCCTGCGGGCGGTCTCGCGCCCCTCGCCGTGTGGGAATCGGGTCCTGAAGGGACAGTTTTTTTTCCTTCCCTCTTTTGTCGATGGGCGCGGGCCCCCCCCCCTCCCCCCCCCCGAAGGAGTAGATCTTGGCTGTTTTGTGCGCCTGTTTCGAGCAGGTAGAGTCTCCCCTCATAGGACCCAGGGCTGCAAACAGTCGCACTAAGCAGAGGTCCAGAGCCAGACCCCCTCCCTCCCCCCCCCTTCCGCCCAATGTCGAAGCGCCGAATAAAAGAACGCGCCCAAACGGGTCCTGAGGTGTTTGGCCATTTCTTGGCTCTGGGGGGTAGGGGTGGGGAGGGTGGAACTTAATTCGCTGCAGGTGGCGGATTCTGTGGGGTGCAAGCTTTGTTGTCCCCTGAACGGGGTGGTTACATACAAATGCACACCTTTGTGTATATATCTACAGCCGCGCGGAGCGCCAAAAGTTTGTGTTTGTAGGGTTGATTCTTCTCCGAGAATGGCTCGATCAGTGGGTGTGTCGTCTTGGGGAGGGCAAGCGATTACGATGATCTGGTGTGAGCTGGGTGCAGAGACGCACTGCGTGATCGCGAGAAGCAGCCTCGGAGCGCATCGCCATACCGTGTGGCGTTCGCGGCCCAGGCTGCGGAGGGCTGCACCCGAGAGGCCTCGCCAGGAAGCGCATCCCTCCGTTCCCTGTGATTTGCCCCGTTCGGGCATGTCTGGCTGCTGCTGGCCCCTGGGCCCCAACGGCCGGCCCGCTGGCCACGGGCCGAGCAGTTCCTTGGCTTCGCGGAAAAGGCCTGCGGGTGCACCGCGACCTCGAACCGGGCCCACGTGCGCCGGGCGGTGTTCCACGCGACCGAGCACGTCGAGCTGGCGAAGCTGGTAGCCGAGGGGCTCCAGGGTGACGCCAGCCCGATCGAGTCCATCGCGCGGATGGAGTGCCCTGTCACGGTGCCTGATCGGACGATGGCGAAGATCAAGGTGCCCGAGTCCGCGCCAAGGCGCATCATATTCGCTTCCAAGGCGCTGCGTAAGCACTTTTCGCTCACCGAGACCCAGACCTGCAGGGGCTGCAGCAAGCGCTCGCGGTGCCGCTTCTTCAAGGCACCGGCGCAGGACGACGAAGTGGCTGGCGTCAAGCACATCGGCCGCGTGCTGTTCGGCATGTCGCAGTACTCGCGAGCGCACCTGCAGCGCCCCGACGCCTTCCCGTTTTATTTTTCGCGCGAGAACCTGGAAAGCGCGGAGGTGCTCCTGCGGGCGGTCGGGGGGCAGCTGATGGCCGAGGACGATGCCTTCTACAGTGGCAGCCCCCTGCACTCCGACATCGAGGTGGCCGAGCCGGAGACAGCCCGGGAGCTGCTGCTGCGCGATGCCAGGCGCAAGCTGGAGAAGAGGCAGAAGCGCCTGGAGGAGAAGGCCCTGTCCCTGCCGCAGTGGATGCGCGAGACGCTCAAGCCAGTGCCCGGGCCTGGCATGACGGAGCGGCAGCGCGCGCTGCTGAGAGAGGCGCAGAAGCTGGCCGGGGCCGACAGCGCCAGCGCCGAGGCGCCCAGTGGCGCCCCAACGGAGGAGCCCGACGAGTGGATGGAGGAGGGCGCGACGCCGGGCGAGCTCGCCGGCCCGCTCCTGTTGGACCCCGCGCCGATGGATGCCCGGGGTCACAGGGGCGACCAGGAGAGCGGGCAGGAGGACCCAGGCGGCGCGCGGCCCATCATCGTGGTCGACGGCGTCAAAGACCTGCCGGTGACGGAGCGCTTCCAGCACCTCCCTCCGAAGGCGAAGGAGCGCCCCGTTGTGCGCTTCAGCGGCGACGGCGCTGGAATTTACACCGTCACCGACGAGCGCGCCACTCACCGGATCGATCTCGACCAGGTGGGCGGGGACATCGACGTCGTGCCCGAGGCTGGGCAGGATTCCATCCTGCGTGGTGGCTACGTAGTCACGGACTTGCTCGGGGAGGGCTCCGAGAACGTACCAGAGGAGGTGCTGCAGTACGTGTCTCTGCCCCCGCGGGGCCTGGACGGAGTCCAGCGCTACCACAGCGGCAGGCCGGCGAAGAAGATCGACCCGCGCCTCCTCGAGGACTCGCGGCGCGCACGGCGGGGGACCTGCTGGGAGGGGGGGCGGCTCCCCGAGAAGGCGGGGGGGGGCCTGCGGAGGAGGCCGGCAGCTTCTTGGAACGCGCTCCCGGCCTCCGAGGACCTGCCTTGGAGCATTTTCTGGACTATTTATCATTTTTCTTCGAACATCCACGCGTAGGAGGACATGCCGGACCTAATCTCAAGGGAGATCTCATCACCTGGACCGCCCTGGCGTTTACTAATCAGCCCTGCCCTGTTCGAATCCTTCTTTGGGCGCGTTTACTAAACGGCTTCGCGTGTCGTGGTGGTTATCCGTAAGGGCTTCGCCCCCTGCCGCCGGCCCCCTCTCTCGGAGAATGGGCCATGGAAGAGCTAAGTCATGAGGCCTTGGCGCTGTCGTGAAGCAGTATCGAAACTTCATGCGAAGCCGATTCGCAATCAGCAAAACCAACTGATCACAAGAGGGGTTACCACACCTGGCGATTGGTAAGACGTGTATGGTTTACGGGCTTGGTTACCACACCTTGCGATTAAAGGGCCGAGGGAGTTCTCGCAGTTTGGGTTACCACGCCTTGCGATGGATGTGCGCGAAGGGTGGCACCGAATTTCAGAAATGTGGCAAATCCCCTGTGTTTTTGGACCCTGACCCCGCGGATCTGCGTAAGGGGTGGCACCGAATTTCAGAAATGTGGCAAATCCTTGTGTTTTTGGACCCTGACCCCGCGGATCTGCGTGAGGGGTGGCACCGAATTTCAGAAATGTGGCAAATCCCATGTGTTTTTGGACCCTGACCCCGCGGATCTGCGTGAGGGGTGGCACCGAATTTCAGAAATGTGGCAAATCCCATGTGTTTTTGGACCCTGACCCCGCGGATCTGCGTGAGGGGTGGCACCGAATTTCAGAAATGTGGCAAATCCCTTGTGTTTTTGGACCCTGACCCCGCGGATCTGCGTGAGGGGTGGCACCGAATTTCAGAAATGTGGCAAATCCCTGTGTTTTTGGACCCTGACCCCGCGGATCTGCGTGAGGGGTGGCACCGAATTTCAGAAATGTGGCAAATCCCTTGTGTTTTTGGACCCTGACCCCGCGGATCTGCGTGAGGGGTGTCGATTTCGAGCCCCCCCAGCAATTCAGACAACGCGCCCAGGGGGTGCTAAAAGTCTTGTTTGGGCCTCCCCCCCCCTCGCGCGGTCAATCAACTAGTTACAGTAACCAGCAAGAAGTCAACTAGTTACAGTAACCAGCAAGAAGCAGAACTGTAACACTGGAAACTAGAAACTACAACTGGTACAGGAAACTGCGAATCACGGGCCTCGCAGCCTGGTGGCCCCACAAGGGGGCCGGCGGATTATCGGGGTGGATTTCTTGCTCTCCTCTAACCCTCTCTTTCGAGGACCTGCCCTCTCGCAGTCCCCCCCCCGCGCCTTCTCGGAAGGCCGCCCACCCGCCCTCCCCCCCTCCTGCGCGCCGCCACGAGGAGCTCTGGCAGCGCGACGCCCAGGGGCAGGCCGAGCGCCCTAGGAGGAGGAGGAGGAGGAGGAGGAGGAGGAGGAGGAGGAGGAGGAGGAGGAGGAGGAGGAGGAGGAGGAGGAGGAGGAGAGGAGGAGGAGGAGGAGGAGGAGGAGGAGGAGGAGGAGGAGGAGGAGGAGGAGGAGGAGGAGGAGGAGGAGGAGGAGGAGGAGGAGGAGGAGGAGGAGGAGGAGGAGCAGGAGGAGAGGAGGAGCAGGAGGAGCGGAGGAGCAGGAGGAGCAGGAGGAGGAGGAGGAGGAGGAGGAGGAGGAGGAGGAGGAGGAGGAGGAGAGGAGGAGGAGGAGGAGGAGGAGGAGGAGGAGGAAGGAGCAAGCAGATGCCCCCCTCCCCCACCGCTGCTCCCGGGGCCTCCCCAGGGGTGCGCCCTGGCTAGGATTTCGAGGCGACCCCGGCCGTGGCGTCGAGGGAGGGGCAGCGGCGTCGGCATCCTCACATCCTCCTCGGAGGCAGAACTGCCGTTCCTTCAGAGGATCCCCTTCGACGGCCCCCTCGGCCGCTCTGGCGGCTCGCTGCCGCCCGCGAGGCTGCCTGGCCGGCTGCTGGCGCGCGGGCAGGAGGCCATCGTGCCCCCGCCCGATCGCGACAGCGCGGCCGCCAGGCCCGAGGGCGCCGCCGAGGCGCCAGGAGAGCCCACCGAGGACGACGAGGGAGCCATCTTGGAGGGCGTCCGCTGTGCACCTGCACTGGCCTCCCGAGGAGGAGGAGGAGGAGGAGGAGGAGGAGGAGGAGGAGGGGAGGAGGAGGAGGAGGAGGAGGAGGAGGAGGGGAGAGGAGGAGGAGGAGGAGGAGGAGGAGGAGGAGGAGGAGGAGGAGGAGGAGGAGGAGGAGGAGGAGGAGGAGGAGGATGAGGAGGAGGAGGAGGAGGAGGAGGAGGAGGAGGAGGAGGAGGAGGAGGAGGAGGAGGAGGAGGAAAGGAGGAGGCCGAAGTGAGCTACTCGGTCTGAGCACGGCCTGCCCCTCGGCCTGCCCCGCGGGGACCGCCGCCGTGCTTTTCGGCTCTCTGGGCGGGTCGACCTTGGGCCTCGCTCCAGGCCCGGAGGCTGCACAGTCGGGGCGCTGAAGAAGGGACCCGTTTCGTTGGGGCGGGCCCGGGTGTTCCTTGATTGTGTTGCAGTTTGCCTTGGGGGACGGCGTAAGCATGAACTTTTGGCGCTCCGCGTGGACTTCTTGGATCCGCGCTGTGACCCCCCTGGCGGGGCCGGAGGCCGCGCGCCAGGGCACGGGGTCCCAGCGCAGATCCAAGACAGCCGTGCGGACCGTCCAAAGTTTGTGTTTATGCCGTTTTTGTCTTTCTACAGAAGGAAGGCTGCAGTTGCTCTTGTGCCGATCCTGGGCCGGGGGTGGGCCCGTCCCAGGGCTCGCCACGGGGAAGCGGGCCCTGAGGTTGTTCGCCGTGGTCGGGCTCCCGGGGCCCTCCACGGGCCCCGGGACTGTCAGAATCCGACTCGGGATGACGATCTCGTCCTGGGGTAAGGCCCCATGGGTCCAGGACCCGTTTCCCTCGGGACCCGTTTCCCCATGCTGCAATGGCTCCTGTACCGCTCCTGGGCCGGGGAGGCGGGCCTGTCCAGTGGCCAGTGCAGCTGTGCGTAGCTGGCGCCCCCCGGCCATCGTCGAGCTGGACTCGCCGCCGTTTGGCTTCCTGGACCGCGACCACGACACCGAGGAGTCGCTGCTGGCGGCGGAGCGCCTGGCGGCAACGGCCCTCGCGGGCGAGAGCGGCGAGCGCCAGCGCGCCGTTGCGCCGTCCGCGCCAGCACCGGGCGGCGTGAGCGAGGCAGGCCAGCCACAAGTGAGCGGTGCAGAAGAGCGGGTTCGGCGGCGCCGACGTTCACGCGCGAGCTGGCTGCGCAAGGTGGCGCGCAAGCGCCCTCGTTTCCAGTGCGGCGCGCCGCGCTGGTGTCCCGCGTAGACCACTGCGTAAGGTCGCTGTGCCGTCCTGCATAAGACCCGTTGCTGTTCGTCGCCCACAGGGGGGAGCTGTGGTCCATGCCCCCCTGGCGGGGGGAGCCATCGGCTCATCAGTTTCGACATCCCTCGCGAAAGGTCGTCGACATGGCTCGTTCCCTCGAGGGGGTCGGGAGCACAGCTCCCCCCGGGGTGGCTGGTCGAGGAGGACGCCCGCTTCGCGGAGTGGAGCCGCAGGGCAGCGGCGCGACCGCCGCCGCGGCCGATCGGGGTGCTGGAGCCTTCGGTGGACTTTCGGAGGCTCGGGGACCCGCGCCACCTGGACAAGGTCTGGGTGAGGGCCCACGGGGGCTGCGCGAAGGGGGGCGGCCGTCCACGAGGCCTGGAGTGCTTCGAAGAAGGCATGGGGCGTCTTGGGGGCCCTCCCGGCTTCGAGACGCTTTCTTACGAGCCCCCAGGCGCTCCGAAGAAGGCCGCCCCCCCACCCGCGCCGCCCCCTCGCCCGCGCCGCACGTAGGTGCAGGTCACCGTGGAGGCGGAGAGCGCCGTGGAGTTCCGCCAGGGGCGGCCGCTGCCACAGGACGAGGCGTTCGTGTCCACCTTCCGCAAGCCGCTCCTGGCGCGGGCGGGGGACGACGACCCCCTGGGCGCGGCCGCCCCCGGGGTGGACATCGAGGCGATCCAGGCGGAGTGCTCGCAGGCCGAGCACAGCAGCGCCTCCGGCTCCGAGCCCGCGGGCCTGCAGCAGGACGGCCCCGGGGCCGGGAGACGCCGCAGAGAGCGCTCTCGGGGCCCTCCCGCGGGGCGCTCTGGAGCGGCCCCGGCGCCCCGACCCCCCAGGGTTAAGTCGGGCCTGTCCCCCTACGGGGGGATTCAGGACGAAAAACAAAAGATACCCCCCCCCAAATGCCCCCAAATGGTCAAGCCATACTGGAAAAAAACGTTCCCAGAGCATTTTTGAGCGATTTTTGAATATCCCCCCTGTAGAGGGACAGGCCCGACTTAATCCCAGGGGTCCCCGCTGGATCCCGGTCCGCTCCTGCCCCCGTCCTGGCCTCGCCCGAAGTCGCCGAGCGCGTTCCATTGCTCGCAAAAAGCGCCCACTTGCAGACGTCCGCCAAGCAGACCCCCCTCGGCGGATATCCAGGCCATCTGCGAGTAACTAGTTGCTTTTTGCGAGCAGTGGAAGGCGCTTGCCTACGAAGGACAGCCACTTCATCCTGGGCGGGAGCGTGAAGTTCCCGAAGCTGCCGGCGGCGGGGGCGGCGGCCCAGGCGCCGGCAGGGCCGCCTGGCCGCGCGCCGCCGCGCGCCGACGGCACCGTGCAGGCCGCTCCGGCGACGCGGCGCCTGCCACCGCGCCTGGGTAGGCTGCGGCAGGCCTCGGAGGCGAGCAAACGTCTCACGGCTCAGCGCAGTCAACCCGCACGCACAGGAAGGATGGGCAGGCAGCCCTTCCAAGGGTACCCCTTGCATCCTTCTCTCCTCGGCCCATCCTTGGCAACTTCCGTTGGCCGCGCCCCGCTCGAAAAGCTTCGAAATGGGAGTCCTGGGCCCTCGCATCCTTATCGCGCATCCTTGCGATACGGGCCGACTGTAGCGTTCGGGCGATTCCGACTGAGCTGCCTGCGGGAGCGAGCAGGCCTGTCAACGCACGGGCCAGCTCTGGGAGCCGAGCAGGCAGCGGCATGCATCTCCAGAGGGTGCATGCCGCTGGGGCCGTCGGCCTAGCGCGGCGTCCCTTCTGCCATTGAGCGAGAGCCGACCCCCATCCTTAAGTCGGGTATGTCCCTCTGCAGGAGGAACATTCAATCATGGTTTAAGCATATCATGGCGACGAATGTTCGTGCCCTGCTGATTTTTGTCAGTTACGTTTTGACGATTTCTTGTCCTCTGGGTCGGTGAACCTGTGCTCTGTGGAGGTGCCACTCGAGCGACGCAAAAAAGATGGCGTCGTCTGCGCAGACATTGGCTCGTAAGCTGCCCGCGTAAGGTCGCGCGTGCAGCTCCTCCTCCTGCTCCTCCTCCTCCTCCTCCCTCCACCTCCTGCTCCTCGAGCCCGGTCGATCCGCGATCGGCTCGTGCCCCCCCCTGGCTGGCTGGTCGCGCGTGAGTGCCCTCGCTTCAAATGTGACGCGCCGCGCGGGCGGCCCGCCGTAAGCCACCGCGTCAGTTCGCTTCAGCTGTGACGTGCCGCGGCCCGGCTGAACGATGCTCAACGGCGCCCGGCACCTACCAGCCAAAAAGATATGTGACCAAAATACGGTAGGTTTGCGTCGTGTCGACCAGCGGCGACCCCAGCGCGGGCGTTCAAGGTTGAACGCCGCCGGCGGCCCAGAATCGATCGATGTTGAACGATCGGAAGTTGCGGCAGCGGCCGATCGTTCAAGGTTGAACGATCCCTGCGGTGTCAAAAACCAACGCTGGGGTCGGCACGCCACGAACCTGCCGTACGTCGGTGGCGGAAAACGTGTCCGAGGTTGTGACCTAGGAGCGCAGTGCATTCGAGAGCGTGGCCGAGATTGAACATCCATGCTGGTTTCGGGCCGAGCAGTTTGGTCACACCCAGGCGCGCTCGGACGAACTCGGGCGCCCGTTTCGGTCACGCTCGTGAAGATGTCGGGCACAGTTTCGGACACTTCACCATCCTGATATAGACGAGGCTACGTGAAACTTCCGAGGCGGGGACGTATCCATTCGGGGACAGGTAAGGCTCGAATTCGCGGGAATTCGGGTCTGCCGCCGCCTCTGAGATGGTCCGTCCCGGATCTTGACGGTCCACTTTTTCCGTGGGATGTTTACAGCGGGAGCTCCCGCCAAGTTTCAGACTGGGTTTATGGTGTTCCAACCTACTTTACTGTAGCCTCGATGATAAGGAAGAGTTTAGAGCACCAAGAAAGTACCGAAGCCGGAGTTTTTTCAAGTGTCGGGCCCTGGGAGGCGATACTCGTTCGACATTGTTTAGATATTTTCTGGGTGCTCGAAATTGTTTCTGGGATGTGGTCCTTCAGTACGATGGGATCAACATAAGACTGGGTCCCGTCCTTCTCTTGACGGCCCCGTCGGGCCAGCACGAATCTCCCAAGTCTTACGTCTTCCCGGTGCAAAGTCTTTGCCTAGGAGGTCGATCTTCGGGGACCTCGGCGGGCATTTGGTACGTACCTATTCGGCCCCCCTGGGGCCGGAACGTGTCTGTATCTACCGCCCGCAGGGGGCCCGGGAGGTCCGTCCCCCGGGCTGTGGCTACGGATCAGAAGCCACCGCCTCGCAACGCCGAGACGTGCCCGCACCTGCCGCCCGCAGGGGTCCCAGGAGGGCAGCTCCCCAGGCCGTGGCTGCGGATCAGCCCCCGCCTCGCAGAACTGCGCAGGCATGAGCTCTCGGAGGGTTCCGCGGACCTCTCGGGTCGGCGCTGGGCTCTCCCATGGCGGCGCCTCCGGCGCCGACCGGGGACAGCCCGGCGGACTCCCCGGGCGGACCTCCGAAAAGTGCATGCTCGTCCAGCGTTCTGCTCTCCCGCCGGTGGGGGCCAGGACGAGGGCAAGGCCGTTCCACAGAGCGTTCTGGAGCGCCCCCCAGAGCCTTAGGGGACGCTCTGAGACGGCCGCGGCGCCGGATGCATCCTCCAGAGCCGTCGGGTCTCAGAGATACCTGATTCATCCTCGCCCGAAGTCGGCGGCGATCGAGGGGGAAGTAAGATCTCAGAAGTCTTGGAAGGCCCCCCGTCTTCTGAGAAGTTTTCCGAGCCTCCCCCGAAGACACGACAGCACTCCTCCGAAGCTGCGAGGGCTTCTGAGCAGCCCCGCCGCCTTCTGAGAAGGCCTTCCCCATTCTCACTCCTCCCCCTCGCTCGCCGCCGACGCATCCAGTTACTCTTATATCGGGCGTGTCCCCCTACAGTGGGATTTTCGGCGAAAAATTTGAAAAGATTCCAAAAAGGATCCAAAAAGGTCCAACAGATACTCAAAAAATAGTCCCCTGACTATTTTTGGACAATTTTTTGGTTATTTTTTGGGTATATTTTGTTTTTCGTCGGAGATCCCCCTGTAGGGGGACACGCCGGACTTAGAGTTACCCGAGGCTCGCATCGAGAACCTGAGCGACCTGCTGAGGCCCGGGCCCGCCGCGCCCGCGGCGTCCCCCGTGCTCGGGGAGCTCGCCGACCCAAGCGGCGGCGGCGCGGGGGGCGAGGGCGCGGCGCCTGCGTGGCTCCAGCGGCCCAGGATCGGGGCGACGTAACGCTTCGGTCCAGTCGGGCGTGTCCCCCTACAGGGGGATTTTCGGCGAAAAACAAGAAGTACCCCAAAAATACCTCAAAAAGGTCCAACAAATACGCAACAAATAGTCCCCAGGCTATTTTTGGATTTTTTTTGATTATTTTTGGGGTATTCTTATTTCTCGTCGAAAATCCCCCTGTAGGGGGACAGGCCCGACTTGAAGCTTCGGGTGGGGGATCGGCCACTGAGTTCAGATTTACCCCAGGATTGACCAGGATTGACTGTCTCGTGGAGCCGTCAGTGGGCTGCTCGTAGATCGACGGGCCTTCCACGCACTGCGCATGGGCTCGGCCCACAAGCCAGTCCTGGGGTGCATCGATTCTGTAGTCGATCCCCTACTCGAAGGCTCGGGTTCGCCGGAGCTGGTGTCTGCCGCCGCCTTTTTTGGCGGTCCCGCCCGGAATGGTGCAGGGGCGGGCGAGGTGAGACAGCTGCGGTTGGTCTCCGAGGGGCCCTCGTCGCCACGGCTGGACGGAGCTCGGGAAACTGATGCATGTGGACCCCAGGAGGGCTTGAGCTGCCGCTGGCTCAACTCGCCCTGCTCCGAGGTTTGCCGTCGCCTTTTTGACGATCTTGGCATGACTTTAGCTGGTCCAGTCTGCAGGAGATGCAAGGGCGCCCTTGAGGGCGCGAAGTTATTCGCGCTTCGCGCTTCGCGGTTCGGCTCCGATTCCTCCTCGTCCTCCTCTTCTCCCCTGGGAGGCGGCGCGAGAGGGCGAAGTTATTCGCACTTCGCGCTTCGCGCAGCGCGAAGCGCGAAGTTGGGAGCCCTTAAGATGTCTGGACGATCAGGCATGACTTGGCTGGTCCGACTTTCAGACTGGGCCTTATCGTTTCCCTGACGGTCCCGTCAGGTCTTGCTCGAGTCCCCCAAACCGAAACCTTACTCCGAGTTTCTCAATAAGCGTTGGGGGGGCGTCACCCCTGCCGACAGCCTCACATCGACCCTCGTCGCGGGCAGCCACCGCGCGCCGAAGGCGCTCCGACCCCCGTCGCGGCGCGACGACGAGGCGAGGTTGACCCCCGTCGGGGGGGTACCCCCCCACGCCAATTAAGAAACACAGAGCAGTCTGACGTCCGCCCGACAGGCGGGAGGCGGACGCGCGAGAGGAGCGGAACGCGAACATCGCCATGCAGCGGCTCCTGCAGCAGCGCCTCAAGGCTCGGGTCGGGCGGGTGCCGCGTGCGGCTGGTCGATAGCCGCTACTGTTGGCGTTGGAAGGATAGCGTGCGACGTGGCGCCGCCGGCGCGCTCGTTTCGCGCTGCCCCCATCCTGGGGATCTTGGGGATATGTCGTGCACCGGCGAGGCCCCGGCAGGGGGGGGGGGATCTCGGGGATGTCGTGCACCGACGAGGCCTTGGCAAGGGAGAGAGCGTGCCCCTGCGGGGGGGGCGCCTCGCAGGGATGGCGTGCTTTTCGGAGATCCGTGTTGCACGCTACCTTTCCAACGCCAACCGCAGACCCTTCATTTTCAGCCACGCGCAAAAGGGGGAGTAGGGGGAGGGGGGAAAGTTTCTTGGAAGCGCCCCTGGGGGTAGAGCCGGAAGCGCTTGTCGAACAGCGCCACGCGGGAGTACCTCGGCGACGGTTGTTGGGGAGCGGTCCCTCCCTGCGAAACAGTAGTAATGCATCGCAACACATGCAATTCCAAAATCACGTCAAGAATGTGTGTCCCCGACGGTTGTGGTCCCGTTAATTGTTGTGATCCCCGTTGTGGTCATGGATTTTCCCTCCCGGGTTGTAGGACCGTGTTCCTTCGCATGCGGCCCCCCCATTCATGTGTCGTGGCAAAATGAGCGTGTAGCACCCGTTGCCGTATTCTGGCCATGGCGTACACCATTGGTAGCCAAGTCGTAATTGCATCCTTCTTGGTGATCTCCGTTGTGGGGCAGCCTAGCCGGCGTGTAAGGCCAGCAGTCGGCACACGGACGTCCCGGCGTAGGTCGTCATTGGCAGAACATTCCCAGTAGTGGTGCTCGAGCGTGGGCTTGTGTGGCCTGCCGCAGTGGTTGCAAGTATTCGAAACCTCCCCTGTTGTGTGGGATTGCAGGAGGGCGTCTGACACAGCACACCCACACAGTACTGCGGTCATGTGTGAAGCCAAATCAGGAGTGGTACGTAGTGCCTCCTGGGCGGTCGGTCCGCAGTGCAGCGGTCGGGAAAGAAACGCCCGCCGCCAGTGGGCTCTCCCGGCGAGTCCTGTTCTGTAGCACGGACCATTCGGTAGATCGGAGGATCAGGCGAAGCTCGTGTAGCTGCTTGCCCGTCCTGTCGGTGAGCCGGAAGCTTCCCTGAGGTCCCTTCCACTCCCAGTTGTAGTCCTGCTGCGCACCAATGGTAGCCAGGTGAGCTTTGTAAGCCATGATCGGTCCCTTCGTTTGCGCATTCGTGACAGCGCGCTCCCAGAATGCGAGGGCATCTTGGCCCTGCCTGCACAACCGGCATCGGAATAGTTGCAGGGATCGCAGGCACAGGTGGTACCGCACGTCTGCCTGATGCCCCATGAGAAGCATGCGGAGTAGTTCTGGGGCCGCCCCTCTCCACTTCTTGAGGGAGACCGCCCGTCGTGCAAATTGCTGGTGGTTGTTGGTCATAGTCTTCGTAGGTGGCGTGAGAACCAGCGCCCATGTCGACACAGGTATTGCCATCTTTGAAGCGCCCCCGCTTCGGGCCTGGTCTGTAGATGTGTGGCCCGGCGCCTTCTCTACGAAGCGGCCTCCCCAGACAATCGGCTGCTCCAATTCTTTCGATGCGTGGGCCCTGGAGGTCCAGACCACTTCCCCAGGGCCGGTTTTTCGTCCTGATTCGTTTTCTGACGCTCCCGAGGCCCGGCTAGGGCCCCAGGAGGCCGAAAACTGCCCAAGTCCCGCCGCTCCAGTTTTTGTGGAGCGTCGGATCTCCGCCTCCTCGGCAGCCTCTTCCCTCCTTTTCTCTGCTCGTGCGCGCGCCGCCAGCACTTGTCCCCCCCCCCCCCCCTCCACTCTCGTCAGCCGCCTCGGCGCCTCTCTGGGCCTGCCAGAGGGGGTCCGAGCAGCTGGGGTCGGAGGATCGCGCCGTATCGTCGATGCATCGGCGATGCCGCTCGATGTGGAGCCCGAGTTCCTCCACGCTGGCGCCGCGGATGCATCGCCGATGCCGCCGATGCATCGCCGACGCATTGGCGATGCATCGGCGGTGTCTCCGCCATGCGGCGCGATCCTCCGACCCCATCCAGGAGGCCTCCATCCGGGAGGCCTCCCGCCTCGGCGCCCCCTCCGCGGCTCGCCGCCTCCGCCGCGTCCCCTCCGCCGCGCTTCCTGGCGCCGCGCGCGCGGAGCCGCAGCCGTAGCCTTCAGTTCCGTAGGCCCGCGCAGCGTCGCCGTCGTCGAGGGCCGCCGTCGTCGTCGTCGTCGTCGTCGTCGTCGTCGTCGTCGTCGTCGTCGTCGTCGTCGTCGTTGTCGTCGTGGTCGTCGTCGTCGTCGTCTTTGTCGTCGTCGTCGTCGTCGTCGTCGTCGTCGTCGTCGTCGTCGTCGTCGTCGTCGTCCGCCCCCGGAAGGCGAACGTCCAGAAGCGCTTCCCGCAGCAGGGCGGGCGCCCGAGGGGCACCGGCGGCGCGTGAGGGGTGCGCCTCTCTGCCGTTGGCGGCGCGCGGGGCCCCGCGGAGCACTTGGAGGCGAGGCGCGTTCCGCAAGAATCCTCAGGGCGTGTGTCAGACCAATGGTCGAGGAAGGGATCGTCTGCAACATTGTTTTCTCCCCACATGGTTTCACTCGTCGACTCGAAGGGGAGAAAAAACGCCATAACCATAACTTTCGGCGCTCTGCGCGTATTTCTTGGATCCGCGCTGGCCCCCCCCCTCCCATGGCGGCGCCTCCGGCGCCGCGTGCCGGGGAGGGGGGCCCAGCGCGGATGCAAGACATCGCGCAGAGCGCCAACGGTTTATGTTTTTGCCGTTCTTCTTACTTTTTGGGCGAACTCACTACAAGCGCCTAAGAGAGGTGTCTCCAGATTCGTCGAAACAGAGATTCTGGGGTACATCAATTCTGTGGTCGATCTCCTACGCGAGGTCAGCACTGGTTCCGGTCAGCAGAGATGGAAACGGAAGGGGCCTCCCTCGTTGACACGGCCAGACGCGGCTCGAACGAATTGTCAGCTTCGACACCCCAGGAGGGGTCCAGGGGCAGGATTTAAGCGGATTTGCCATTACCTGTACCCCCCACTCTTGACCCATTTTCTCGGTGTCCATCCAGCGCAGACACCCCAGAAGCTTCCAAGCTCGGGACGTGTGTGAGCCCAGTGTGTGTGTGTGTGTGTGTGCCGCTGCAGGACCTTAGTGGTCTCTTAGGGCTCGGGCGGACTTAGACGCGCAAGCGCGGTTGCTGCTTTTCGACCTTCCCTGGGCTGTCGCCGCGCCCAGGGCCGCGACGCCAAAGAGTGTGTGTGTGTGTGTGTCACCTCGTTCAGCTCCACCGGCAGCGCGCAGCCTGTCGGTCATAGTCGCGCCGCCTGGCGCCGTGATGAGGGGCTTCGGTTACAGGCGCACGTTGGCGCCACAGCGCACCTCCCGAGGGTCATTGGGACTGCCTGCGGGCCCCGCAGCTCGCGTAGACGAGGCGGTATTCAAAGAAGAAAGCACGGTATGAAGTCAGACTTTCGGAGGCCCGTGTGGAACTCTTGGTCGGTGCCAGCCGAACACGAAAGGGGTGCATTCGAGGTTGCACACCAAAAGCAGCACCATGGTTCCTAGATCTCGGGGGTGGACAGAACCCCCAACAGTGACACCTCGATTAGTGAATTGTCCGTTTTCGGTTCTCGAGAGGGCGCCGTGGCCGTTATTTTCCAGGCCTGCGCCCGCCAGGTTTGGGCCTCAGGTCGTTTTCACTAAACCACGTTTTACTAAAGGGAGGTCTGTCCATCCCCGAAGATCGCAGAGGCCGACTGTTCCACCGACGGATCCATTCAATCTTCCTCTCACCTGTTTCGTGGTTTCCCCTCCCTAGCGCGCGGAGCTCGCCAGGGGGCCCAGCGCCGACCCGAGAAATCCGCGCGGACCTCCGACGTTTTGTGCACGTGCTGCTTGTTGTTGTTGTTGTTGTTGTTAAGGTTGCTGTTGTTGTTGTTGTTGTTGTTGTTGTTGTTGTTGTTAAGGTTGTTGTTAAGGTTGTTGTTGTTGTTGTTGTTGTTGTTGTTGTTGTTGTTGAGTTCTCTTTTCTGAAGGATAGTTATTATTGATCCCCCCCCACCGGTGCATACTGTTTTTTCTAAATCAAAGTGTGGCCCTCGACGCTCGCACCCTGTTTTTTCAGGGAAAGTCTTCCTGCTCAAACTGGCCCCCTGGCCCCCGGGTTACAACAACAACGGCTCCCGCCTGAGACTTCCTTACAATTTAGGCAGGACCCCCGCTCCCGCCCGAGACTTCCTCTCATTTGATTCAGGAATCGCGCTCTCGTTTGGGACTTCCTTTCAATTTATTCAGTCTCCTGGAGCTCTCGAGTCGCGCTCTCCCTGGAGACTTGCTTGCAACTTACTGAAGAATAGCCTTGCGTTGGAATTTCCTGCAATTTGCCCAAGCGCCGCGCTCCCGACACCCAGGCACCCAGGTGTCGCGCCCGTTGTGGCCCTGTGTGCATGCCCTTTGTGGCCCCGCTGTCGCCATTTGTGTCCCTCTCATTGTCGTACGTGGCCCAGTTGCTACCCTCAGGGGCCCCATAGTTGCCTTCTGTGGCCCCGCATTATCTGCACTTCGTGGCCCCCGCTCGTTCGCACTCGTCGTGGCCCCATACGCATTCCCTTCGTGTCCCCGCTGTCGCCCTTCGTGGCCTACTTCGTGCCCTTCGTGGCCCTGCTGTCGTTCTCTCTCGCTCTCGCTTTCGCTCGTCGTCGCCGTCGTCGTCGTCGTCGTCTCGTCTTCGACGTCGTCGTCGTCGTCGTCGTCGTCGTCGTGGTCGGTCCCCTGTCCGTCCCTCTTGGGGTCGGGTCGACGGTCCACGGCCGCCCCGCCGATCAGCGCTGCCGCTGGCCAGGCCGACGGTCCGCGGCCGCCCCGCCGCTTGCCGGGGCCCGGCCTGCAGGGAAGAAAGGTATACCCCCCAAAAGGGGTTCGATCGAAGACGAAGAGGGCGGGTATCGAGGGTTTGGGAAATACGCGTTATTGGACACCCGAACAGTCTTAACATTATTGTTGTTGTTGTTGTTGTTGCTGTTGTTGTTGTGGTTGTTGTTGTTGTTGTTATTGTTGTTGTTGTTATTGTTGTTGTCGTTGTCGTTGTCGTTGTCGTCGCTGTTGCTGTTGCTGTTGCTGTTGTAGTTATTGCTGTTGTTGCTGTTGTTGTTGTTGTTGTTGTTGTTGTTGTTGTTGTTGTTGTTGTTGTTGTTGTTGTTGTTGTTGCTGCTGCTGCTGCTGTTGTTGTTGCTGCTGTTGTCGTTGTCGTTGTCGTTGCTGTTGCTGTTGCTGTTGCTGTTTCTGTTGTATTTGTTGCTATTGTTGTTGCTGTTGTTGTTGTTGCAGCTGCAGCTGCTGCTGCTGCTGCTGCTGCTGCTGCTGCTGTTGTTGTTGTTGTTGTTGTTGTTGTTGTTGTTGTTGTTGTTGAATTCTCACTACTGAAGAATTCGTATTGTTGATCCCCCTTTGGTCACATACGTGCTTTTCAATTGAAGTGCCCTTCCTGGGGCTCGCACCCTGTGTTAGGGAAAATGTTTCTCTTCAACCTGGATGATTGGACTATATAGCGACAACCACGGCTCCCGCCTGATACTCCACAAGTTATTCAACATCACGCTCTCGCGCGGGATTTCCTCACAATGAATTCAGGAATCGCGTCATCGCGTGCGACTTCGCAATTTAGACGCCGCGCCCTCGACATTCAGGAGTCACGCTCTCGCTGTGGATTTTCTCACGATTGATTCGGGAATCGAGCTGTCGCTCGAGACTTCCTCGCGATTCAGGCAAGCCGCACGCTGCAGCAACCCGCCTGCTCGACCTGGCCGCCTGGGCCCTCCTTTCCGACCCGCCTGGTAGGGTCTACCCGCCCGATCTGCCCGTCTGGTTCTGCCACGTGTTTCCTGCTCCTAGCCCCCCTCCTGCTATTCTCTCTCGTGCTCCATCCTCCTCCCTCCCCCTTGTCCCTTCCTTCCACCCGTTCTCTCTTCGCCTGCCTCAGGGTCTGCACGAAACACACATTGCAGGCTAGACAGATATCACCCCAAGGGGGGGGGGTTCGGTCGAAGACGAAGAGGGCGGGTATCGAGGCTTCGGGATATACGTGTTGAATAGCACGTGAGCAGACAAGAGCGAACAGTCTTAATTTGTTTGTTGTTGTTGCTGCTCTTGTTGTTGACGTTGTTGTTTTTGTTGTTGAGTTTGCAGTTCTACATGCAAAGTATTGTTGATCCCCTTCCAGGGCACCTTGGATGTTTTGATTAATGTAATCCTCCTGGTGCTCGCGCCCTGTTTTTTAACAACGGAAAACGGGGGGTCACCAAACTGGGCCCGTGGCCCCCGAGTTACGACAACAACGGCTCCCGCCTGATATATCCTTACAAGTTTTCAACATCGCGCTCTCGCGCGGGATTTCCTTACACATTATGCAGGAGTCGTGTCCTCGCGTGGGACTTCTTCGTAATTTATTCAGACTCCACGCCCTCGATACTCAGAAATCACGCTTTCGGTTTGGCTGTTCTCACGATTTGCCAGGGAATCTCGCTATCGCTCGAGACTTCCTCGCGATTCATGCAGTACTCACGCTTCAGCAACACGCTTTCTCGACCTGGCCGCTTCGGCCCGCCTGTTAGGGTCTAACCCACCAGATCGGCCCATTCGCATCTGCCACGTGTGTTCTGCTCCGAGCCCCCCTCCTGCTAATCCCGTGGTCCATATGTCTCAATTTCCGTTCCATCCGCCCTCTCTTCTTTTGTTTCAGGGGCTGCACCGACCACACGCGGCAGGTACGGAAGATATGCCCCAGAGGGGTACTGTTGAATGCCGTCGCCCATGTTTTCGGGCCCGCGTGTCCCGCGCCGATGAATTCCAGCTCTGCGCGGGTGGGAGCAACGCGGGCCTTCTTTATTGCTTCCCATGAGCTTTAGGAGTTCCATTGGCCGCGCGAGGCCCGTGGGCCGTGCTAACCTCGCCAGCCCCATGAGCCCCACAAGTCCCAGAAAGGGTTCCTGGGCCACATGGGCCCCGCAGTGCGCATGGGTCCCAGGCGCCGCGCGAACCCCGTGAGTCGCGCGGGCCCCATGGGCCCCCTGAGTCGTCAGGGCCGCCTTGCGAACCCCGCGGACCATGGCAGCCCCATGGGCCCCTGGAACGCCATGAGCCCCATGGGGCGTTGTTAGCCATGCGAGCCCCGTGGCTTGTGAATTTTGCGAGCAACGCGAGCTACCTCTGGGTTTCCGGGCTCCGCCGGGCCGCTCTGCCCCTGCAGGGACAGGGCCCCCAATTTTTCCAGCGTGGTCTTGGTGCTGGTGCCGGCTTCTCGTCCCCAGCAACATCGGAAAACCGACGCCGGCACCAGGGCCCCCGCTGGAACGGCGGCCCCGTGGGGGAGCGGAGCCCCTGGGGGGGGGAACGAACGGGTGGGGGGAGGCGTGGGGGAGGGCGGCGGTGGAGTGAAGGAGGCTTCGGTCATGGAGGAAGCCGCGTCCTTCCTTCACCTCCCCCCTTGCCCGAGAAGGGCCCGCCAGTTTCGCCTCTCGCCTGCACTTTTTGTTTCCTGCTCTCTGCGCGCTGCGCCATGTCTCGCTTTCCCGCCTCCTCGCCCCCCCCTTTGAGTCCGAAGACCAGGACGGGCTCACGCTGCCCCAACATGCAATCCCAAGTTTTATGGAACACTTTTTTGTTTGGTGTTGGTGTCGACTTTCTGTGCTCCCAGTTATTGTTGATGTTGTTGCTGCTGATGCTGCTTCTGCTGCTGCTGCTGCTGCAGTTGTTGTTGGTTCTTGAAGAGGAGCGAGCGCCGGGCCCCGGCGCTCCCCCAGCAACAACACTAATACCAACAACAACAACACCAACAACAACCAACAACTACAACATCAATAACAACAAAAACAACAAGAGCAACAACACCAACCACAACAACAACAGCAACAACAACAACGCGGACGGTTCCCGCTCGAGACATCTTCGCAATTCACTGAGGAATGATGTATTCACTAGACCACAGAGGAATCCAAAGGAAGTTGCGCAGTCAACTGCTTCTCGGCGACCCTGGCGCGGCTTAGCCGTTGCCGGGCGAGCCTTAGGCGGGTGTACTAATAATGCCTTGTATGTTGCACTATTATGGATATGCTTGGCGAGTGACTGAGACGGCCTTCTCCTTCTCACCACTCCCCTCGCTCGCCGCCGACTCTGGTAAGGGGCCACGTGCGAACCCTATCCCTCCCCCGCAGAGATCATGGGGGGTAGGGGGTAGGGTTCGCACGTGGCCCCCCCATTTTGGACACCCCCGATTGTCACCACCCACCAAACCACCCCAACCCAACCCGAAGGCTCAGATTTACCCTCCATTTCCAGTGGGGGGGGGTCGGGAAACATCGAAAAAACACATGTGTTCCCCTTCGCAGCAGCACGACCCCCGAGGGGCCCCCTGGCGCGCCGCTGGCACTGCGGGCGCTCCGCGTGCCGCGCCGTCGAGCGCCGGCGGCGCCGGGCCCCATCTGCTCTCGCGGCGGCCTGGGCCCCCCGCGTCCTCCCTCGATCTTCCTCCCTCCTCCTCCCTCGCTCCTCCCTCGTTCCTCGTCCCTCGTCGTCCCTCCCTCCCCCCCTCCCTCCTCCCCTCGTTCTGCCCGTGCTGCTCTGTCCGCTCCTCCCGCCCCCTCCGTCCCTCGCTCCCTCCGCTCCTATTCCTGCTCCCTCGCTCCCCCGTCCTCTGTGCTCCTCTCCCTGCCTCTCCCCTCCCTTCCGTTCCTTGATCCTTGTCCTTGTCCTTGTCCTTGTCGTCGTCGTCGTCGTCGTCGTCGTCGTCGTCGTCGTTTCTGTCCTCGTCTTCGTCGTCGTTGTCGTCGTCGTAGTCCGCCGCCGCCGCCGCGCGCTGGGAGGACAGGCCGGGCGGTTGGGTATAGGCAGAGACTCGTGTTTCGGAAGGGGCTTTGCTGGTGGCCTGCCCCCTTTTTGTTGCCACGAGGGCGTCGGGATGCGGAGGACGGGGCTCGTTTTTCATTCCCTGGCGATGGAATGCCCGTTGGCTGGGGAGGGGGCGACTGGCAGGGAGGGCGGTGGGGCTGGTAACATCTCACGATGCGCGCGCAGGCGCCGGCCACCCCTAGCAATTCCGAGACGGCGCCGGCGCGAGTGACCATGTGGGAGGGGGAGGGGGGAGCCTCCCCAGCAACGGGTGACAGTCAACGCCGCCCAGTAAGGACGCGCGCCTTCATCCAGGGCGCCCTTGTCTCCTTGCCTCCGCGGCCCGTCCTCGGCCGTTTCCACTGGTCGCCCGCCGCCCAGACACTCCCAGCTTCGGCCTCCCAGGATCTCTTGCGCCACTGCCGCCCGTCCTGAACACCCGCTTCGGCTGTGTCATCGCTAGTCGTAACCGCACGTGCTCCTGGCCCGCGGCCGTTCCGTCTCGAGCCTCGGTGGGCGGGGCGCGCAGCCCGCGCGGTGGGCGCGGCCGGCCCCGCCCTGGTCGAGCTGCGGCGGGCGCCACGCCCGCCTCGGGGCTCCGATGGCCGCCGCCGGGCCGGCCGCGGCGCCGCCGCACGCGGAGGGCCCTGGCGCCGACGGCGGCGCCCCGCAGCAGTCGGTGGGCTGCACGTGGCTACTACAGTCAGCCCGCACGGTAAGGATGGGCAACCTTCCCGAGGGGTACCCCTTGCATCCTTGCCTCCTCGGCCCATTCTCGGCCACTTTCGCTGGCCGCGCCCCGCTCGGAAAGCTTCGAAACTTGCGTCCAAGGTCCTGGCATCCTTATCGCGCATCCTTACTATACGGGTTGACTGTACCCTCGTCAAAATGAACCTCAAACATGTGTTGCTAATCCAACTTCAGCATGTGTGTGTGGGTGTGTTTCTGGAGTGGCTGGCGATGAACGCGCCGTACTTCTTGGCGCGCCCCCTTCACTGTCGATCATCATCGAACTTTCGACTTGACCCCGCTGAACACTAACTGCCCCCTGGCCACGACGTTTCCGGGCGTGCCGACATTGGAGGGGCGTGCCGACATTGAAGGGGTGTGGCTAACTTTTTTGAGGTTCATTTTGTCGAGGGTTGCAGGGGTGACCTTTCGCTGGAGTGATCTTTGGTTCGGGGAAGCGTAAGACCCGAGGAGTTTGACCAGAACTCGGGGTTGTCGGCATCTTCTTGACAGGGCCGTCTGGGCTTTTGGCGGTCCAGCTGTCGTGGGATCTTTGCAGCGGGAGCTGGCGCCAAATTTCGGAGTGGGTCTCGTGCTTTTCCTGGCGGCCCCGTCAGGGCAACCCGAGTCCCCCGAACCCGAGTCTTCTGTTTAAATCGGGCATGTCCCTCTACAGGAGGAATATTCAAAAATATGTTTAAAAAAAATAGTCAGGCGACGATTTTCGACTATTTTTGATTTCTGCTGGGTATTTTTGAATACTTTTTGAGTTTTCGTCCCGAATCCGCCTGCAGGGGGACATGCCCGACCTGGTCTTACGTCTCCCCGACTAGTGCGGGCCCGATGGGGGCCTTCCGAGCGCCGAAGGCGAAGCGGCAGCAGCTGCTCGCGAGCCTGGGTCTGGCCTCCCCGCTCCCCCCTTTGCGCCGCGCGCCACGGGTCACGCTGGCCTGGGCTCACTCTTGCGTGTAGCCTTAAGTCGGGCCTGTCCCCCCCTACAGGAGGAACATTCAAACATAGTAAGAAGTAGTTGGGGACTATTTCTGGAATCTTGTTTGATTAGTTTGGAGCATTTGTTGAGTCGTTCTTAGTTTTTCGTCCAAAATCCGCTTGTAGGGGGGACGCCCGACCTGAGTGCAGCCGAATCGGGGGGGGGTCCAGGATGGTGGTCAGGGAATGGGCTCGCTCGTTCGCTGTGCATCCATGGGGACGCGTAGGCAGGCGCAAGTTTTGCGACGTTGGCAGCCGTGCTGCCAATAAGTTGTACGTCCACGCATCATCAACAGGAGCGCCAAACGCGACCGATGGATACGCCAAGCGCGCCAGAAAGAAAACATAGAATGTGATGATGATCTCTTGGCAGGAGGGGCGATGTGTTGGGCGGGGTGTGGATACTATGGCCGGGGCCATCTGATACAGGCAAAGCCGGCGTCAGGGATGTGCCCTTAATCGCAAGAACACCTTGCATCCTGCGGCTTTGGTCGTCCTTGGCACGTCTGGGTGCGCACATCCTTGGTTTTCGCCTCGCTCCAAGGGTCTTGCATCCTCAAACTCAATCCTTCTCGCTGGTTTTGATTGTTCTGGGGCCATGTGATACCCCAGCGCGACCATTTGCGAGCCATGAACCTGCAGGTCCAATCGACGCTGGGGTATCGGGCACACCCGCTGGGGCTCACTTTCCGCGGGCATCCTTGAATTTCTGAACCCACGTTTTTTTTTTTTTTTTTTTTTTTTTTTTTTTTTTTTTTTTTTTTTTTTTTTTTTTTTTTTGTTTTTTTTTTTCTGACCTTCAAGCAGTGGCGAAGCGTCCCGGCGTGTCTATAGGGCTACCAAACAATGTTCTGAGAACCGTGTGGTTTCCACGAAATGTTCTTAGAACATTTCTGGCTGGGACTGTCTTGTTTTATTTCATCGGGAAATGTTCTAAGAACATTGTTTTCTTCTAAGAACATGTCGTGGTAGGCCTATAGAAATGCCGGACGGTCGGTCCCTGCTCAAGACCTGCAGGGGTAGAGTTCCTATGTGGTTGTCTACGCCGAAGAAGCATAGACGGCAAAGACATAAACATCTGCTGGTTCTGTGCGCGGACCTGCGAACGCTTCGGCGGATGCCGATGCTTGCTTCTCTAAGGGTGCGCAGGTGGTTGCCCGCAGGACTCCCGAATCTCGTTTGGCGGGGAGCGCGGGGGAAGTGAGAAGGGGCGGGCCTTCTCAGAAAAGGCTCGGAGGTCTCGCCAGCCTTCTGAGAAACTCTCGAAGCTTTCCCCGAATACGCAACGAGCTTCTCCCGAGAAGTCCCGCCGCCTTCCGAGAAGGCCTTCTCCTTCTCGCTTCCCCCCTCGCTCGCCGCCGACTCGTGGCCCCCCCTTCTTTCAGGAGAGAAAAAAACACACAGGCACAATTAATCGTCGACTCCCCAGAAAATATGGGAACATATGGGCAGTGGGAGGGGAGACAGAAACCCAGAACATATATGGACATGTGGGGAATCTTCTTATTTGTGTGTATTTATTTGCGTGTCCCTGGGCCCCTTCATTCTCCTCTCGATGCGCCCCCCCGCACTCCCCCTTCTCCCGTCCGCGCACGCGCCTCGGGCCACGGCGCGCCAGGGCCCCCCCCCGCTCCTCCTGCCAGGAGGGAGCTAGCACACAGACGCGAGTCATCGTCGACCCCCAGGGCAGCATGGGAAAATAGGGGAAGTGGGGGGGGGGAGGACGAAAACCCAGAAATGGTAGGAAAACTGAGCACACAGACAAGATTCATCGTCGACCCCCAGGGCAGCATGGGAAAATAGGGGAAGTGGGGGGGGGGGAGGACGAAAACCCAGAAATGGTAGGAAAACTGAGCACACAGACAAGATTCATCGTCGACCCGCAGGGCAGCATGGGAAAATAGGGGAAGTGGGGGGGGGGAGACGAGAACCCAGAAATGGCAGGAAAACTGAGCACACAGACAAGATTCATCGTCGACCCCCAGGGCAGCATGGGAAAATAGGGGAAGTGGGGGGGGGGAGGACGAAAACCCAGAAATGGTAGGAAAACAGAGCACACAGACAAGATTCATCGTCGACCCCCAGGGCAGCATGGGAAAATAGGGGAAGTGGGGGGGTGGGGGGGAGGACGAGAACCCAGAAATGGTAGGAAAACAGCACACAGACACGATTCATCGTCGACCCCCAGGGCAGCATGGGAAAAATATGGGAAGTGGGGGGGGAGGTGAAAACCCAGACAATGTAGGAAGATAGAGAGAATCCTGGGATTCGTGTCTCTCTTTGCCTTTGTGCCCCTGGGCCCCGCCTGGTCCTGGCGCCCCACTCCGGCGCACGAGACCTCATGAGCATCGCATTGAGGACGGAAGGAACAGGCACGCAGACCGACAGCAGCTCCTGCCCATCCCTCGGGTTGTGAACGACGATCCATGGAGAGGAAGCATGTTGCCAAATGATTTCCGGATGTCCAGAACATGTTCAACACATGTCTTAAACATTCGGGGGTGGACAGAACCCCCAACAGGGACACGACACGTCGATTAGTGAATTGTTCTTTTTCGGTTCCCGAGAGGGCGCCGCGGCCGTTGTTTTCCAGGCTCGCGCCCGCCAGGTTTGGGCCTCAGGTCGTTTTCACTAAACCACGTTTTACTAAAGGGAGGTCTGTCCATCCCCGAAACATGTAAAAGACATGATTTAAACATTTTAAGAACATGTTTCAAACATTTTAAGGACATCTTTACTTCAATGATAGGATTGTTAGGGTGTCCGTGGTCATGGCATCCACAACCCTCGGGCCCGGGTGCGCCAGCCCGCCCCCCCGTCCCCCCTCCGGGCCCCCCTTCTCGGCGCACCGGACCTCGCGAGGATCGACACGGGGACGGAAGGAGTGGGGACGAAGACCGACGGCAGTTCTGGGGCGGGGCCAGGACTGAGGCAAGTCCTTCCAGAAAGCTCATGAACACCCTGAAAGCGTTCC